AATACGAGATGATGAATGAAAAAGATTAATGATTGGTTCAATATGACGTCGAAATGCATCAAGATCTCGTTCGACATTACGAGCACATCCTAGGACAACTAATCGAAGAGAAGGAAGTTGACGAAGAAGATTTTGATATGATGAATTTGATATTCGTTGAGGTAAATTTGATTGAGGATAATCACGCACGAAAAAGGAACGATTATCAGACGGTATGTATGGACGACAAGTTGTGATGGAAGTCAAAGCCGTATGCACTACTATTTTTGATATTTTGATTAATGGAATCATACTCGCATATTTGTTTATGATAAAGAACATAATAAAAATGACGCAAGTCAGAGTTATGAAAAGTAATATGTATTTTAAATTGTAATATTTCGGTTGACGTTTTACAAACATTCTTGACGTTTGATTATAATTAGTTTTTATTTCTATAACAAAAACATAAATACGTGAAAAATGTAGCGTAAGAAAAATTACTTAAAAGTAATAGATAGGATGTACTTTAAATTGGAGATGTATAATAAATGGACGTCTTTATTCTCAGTCGAATAATTAGTGTGAATATGAATAAAATATAATATTCACACCCACCTCATTTTGTAGAATATCTTAAAATGAATCTTTTTAAAAAAAATTTAAGTCTGAATAAGTGATAGCTGATAAAGTTGTCACTAACATACTGAAAAAATAGAAAGGACAGAGCAATCAAGTGTATCGATAGAAGAAAAGAAAAAAAAGTCGATGACACGTGTTGACAGCTATCAAATATGAAGAAAGTATCTATATAATTGATAAAGAAAAAAGAAATGAACATGAAAATATATCATATTTCACCTTTCATCGATCAATACAAGACACACTCATTTGTGTATAAGTTGTCGTTATGCATCATTACTTTCAATATTATCAAATTTTCAATAACAAGAATCATAACCATTTCTACTCGAACGAGTAACAAACTAAATTGAAAGTTAGATAAAATTACAAAGAAAAGAAAGAAAAATATACAACAGATCCATTCATTTTTTTATAGCAAGAACAAAGTTAACAATGATGTTACCTTGTAAACTAATTGTGGTCGTCGTATTTTCAAAGGTTTTATTTCTTTTTCTTTTAATAAAAGCAAAATATTAAAATAGTAATTTTAAAATTCTATTTCATATAATAATCAAACGCTTTTGTCTGATCTTTTATATCAAAATAAATATTAGCTAAAATTTCATAATTTTCAGCTATAGGTAAGACTAACTGGTTCGTTGATAATAAACAATATTTATATGCTAGATTCTTTTATATTATCACAAGCATATTTTTCATAGTATTCTTTGGATTTAGTACAATATTCAAAAGCTAGATTATATTTCTGCAGTGAACAATAAGATGTTGCTATATTATTACATAAATTAATAATTATAATTTTATTCATTGGATCTAATTATTCTTGTATTACTAACGATTTTTCTAAATACGTAATTGCTAATAAATATTCACTCATCATACCATAACATCCGAAAATATTTTCATAAATTTGAGCAATCTTTCTTTCATTATTATCATCAATTAAAGTTAATGATATCATACAATTGTCAATTGCTTTATCAAATTCATTAATTCCATAATAAACATTACTATATGTAACATACAAATTGAATAAATTTCATGTTGAATGATGTTCTTGATGTAATGACAAAGATTGATTATAATTTTTTAATCTGAAATTAATTTCTACCAGTCCAATATGTGTTAATGCTATATCGATATGCAAAGATGGAAGTACTTTTTCGCGTATAGTCAATGATTGTTCGTAATATTTTAAAACCAAATGTAATTCGTTTTGTTTATAATAAAATACACCAATATTAAAACTATCATTAGCTATGTGAAAATCTTCTGTTGAATATAATAATTCATCTAATTGTATAGCTTTTTGAAGGTGTTGTAAACTCATTTCTGTATTATCTTACGAATAATAAATATTTGCTAAATTAGTATTAGCAATCGATATCATATCCGTATCATCTTCCGGTACGATTTTTAAGATTTCTGTATAATAATGAATGGCAAGTTTAGGTCTATTTTGTTTATGAGCAATACTTCCTAAAAGATCAAATATATGACAATGATCATAGATAGTACCGTCCGGAATATTTTCATAAAGTTTACAGCAATGATTTATATATTCATTTGCTTGTTCAACTTGTTCATTATTTAGACAAGCAATTACTAATCCAAAAAGAGCGATAAAACTGTTTTTATCATCTTTTGCTTCTTCTAATAGATTTTCAGAATAACGAATAGCTTCGACTGACTGATCCATCTCAATCAGAAGATATCCAACTTGATAGTCGATTAGTTCGTACCATCTAAGATTTTTACTTTCATCTACTTTAGACAAATAAGCTTTAATTGTTCTATAATATAAACGAAATTTTTCTAGCATAATTTTTTTACTATCGTTCGTTTGAACCATTTTCATTATATATTCACGTAATAATTGGTACCATAAAAATTCTGATGATTCACGTGTTAAATCCTGCGTAGATTGTCCTGATTGATCGAATAGATTTAATAGCATTTCTTTTTCAATGATTTGAATAATAAATTATATTCAGTATGAATACCATGAATTTTTGAGTGTACACCGCACAAATATTTATAGTTTGAATCTTGGATACAAAATATATAGATCGAATTGATTTGTTTATTATCATGAATGATTGGTATTATAGTTTGAGAAATTGCACCAGATAAAACAACGATTGCTTCGTTTACCATAGTTTGAATATAATCTGAAAATGTTGATCTATCAGTTATGATGAAAATATGATCATGAATATTTTGTAATAGATCGTTTAAGTCTTCATTAATATTTTCATCAAGTTATATAATCGTCATAGCTGTACTTTTGAATAACTGTCTATTGTAAATTATTAGAAAGAAATAAACATTCTCAAAGACAATTCATATTTTTGTTGTATAACACATAAAATCTTAAAATATGAATAGATTGATGTTGCTTATATGTTATACTTGAAACATAAATTAAGGAAGTAAATCCTGATTTAAATCTTTTACGAAATTATTTTTATTTATCAAATATGCCCTATAATGAATGATAATAACTTGGTTTTTTTCTAAGGGACGTTTTTTCACTTGTAACAAACGAAAAAACTCACCTTCGTCATATATATAGAACACAAAAAGTAAATGTGTCACGCTATCGTGTATATTGAGGGTGGGTGTGGAAGTAGACATCGATGCTAGCTTTTTCTCGCACAGCCACACCCTTTTGTATACTTTGTTTGTCTTCAAACTAACTCGTAAAGCATCGAAAGAAACATTTGTGTTAATATTTTAAAAAAAAAGGAAATGGTAGAAGTATGCAACAAAGATTTGTGGTCACAAGTGTAAAGTTTGGACAGAAAATGATCGTGTTCAATGTTGAAGAAATTATTGGCCAATTATAAATACAATGACCAAAACTCCATTGAAACCTTATTGAAAAGAACAAATTAAATGTGGCAAGTGCTCACATGCATATCAATTTCATTATTTCAAAACAATTCAACATGCTTGTATTTTCGTCTGAAAGCGTAGGTGCGGGAGTACGTAACTTTGCTCTCAATATCACACACACACCCTATCATCATAAATTCATCAAATTTCTCTTACATTATGCGATAGTCTATGCAAAAGACGAAAAATTTTGTTCTGTTTGATCGATATTTCCCGATTTATTCTGAAATCGAAGCGAATATTGTTTCAATAAATTAGCAAAGTTCCGAAATAATGAAGAAAAATTGATTATCGATGAATTAGTCGCCACCATCGTCTGAATGTTTCTTGAAATGTTTTTCTGTATAGGTCTGAAGGAAGGACAAAAACAATAAAGATAAGCATCGATGGAGTAAATGAAATGAAATAACCAGAAATAAATAATAATCGATGATTAGATGGATTGACACATTCTGATAACATTGACATAATCAGACGAGGTAGGGACAAAATTAGAAGAATAATTGGACTGATTAATAATTGTTTATGTTCACTAATTTGACTGTAAATATGTTCTTGCAGAGTTAGTCTTGTTTGAGCTGTTGATCGTTGTCGGGCGGATCCAAATATGATGAATAATGCAGAACAAAGGTTGATAATACATGGAGCGACAAGATGAAAAAATAAGATGATTGTATTGTATTGCTGAACAAAAGAAGAATAACGAGTTAAACACCATCTATCGATATCCACTTCCTTTGTCTCTGTCTTTACCTCATACAGTTCTCGGTGTATAGGTTCGTGAATGATTGAACCCATGATACAGAATGGTAGTATAAGAATTATCCATCGAGCAATGCGTTGACTCTTTTGTTTATTGAATGCGATTCCTTTGAAAACAAGAATCGCTCTTTCAATAGCTACACACGCATTGAGCCAAGCATCCAAATAAAGACAAAGCTTGAGAAGTGGTTCGATCGATACACAACCTCCTCGAACAACAGAAAGACGAATTGACAGATTTATTTGAGTGAGAACAACAAACCAAAACTTCACTGTAAATATACTGATTGTAAGGAACGATGTAATCGATGACGCAAAGAGATAGATGCCACATCCAACTTTTCGTAGTTCTTTGCTCTGAAATGTTATTAGAGACAAAATACTATTGATTAAACCTCCAACAAACATAATCATCGTTAAAGCAGCATTGATTTTCACCAATATTGTTTGGTCAGTCATTGTCATATTCGGTCGAATTTCATCACGTAAAATATCATCGAGAATGATACCAATACTTTTTTTGTAGAACTGACATTTTTGACCAATGAAACAACTCCTTAGAATTTGAGCTAAAGAAAGAAATAGATGGTCATCAAAAGATGAGATTAATCGTTCTCTACTTCAGAAGACCTTGTCGAAGTAAATTTGTAAGCAACAATAGTATATCAAAGTCATTTGTCTATACATGGCATGTCGTATCGAGATTAGATTTATATATTTCTATTTTCTGTTTAATGTCTCATGATGAATTTATTCATTTTTGTAAAGATGTTTCTACATATGAACTCGATGAATTTTTAAAGACTGCATAGTAATAATATCACAGATAGTGTGAAATCACTGAAGAATAGATCCTCTCGAATATATTGTTGATGCGAGAAGAAAATTTGTATTAATTTACCCATCTGATTGAACAAGTATAATCCATTTAATTCCGACTAAGTTACAATACTGAGACTTAATCTTATCTGATTGCAAGATAATTGGCTATTTTTAAAAGAAACAGTTCCGATATGGTCCTATCTTTTGACTATAATTCTACTGAATTATATACTTTATTTGAAATTCTCAGATGTTTTATTATTCAAGAATGAAAATGTAGTTTAGTGGGATGTTGTATTTCTCTGTTGATGATTGGCAAAATAATACAAAATACTTACTGTAAGGATTAAGAGTGATGTTATTTCGACCAGCTGCCTTAATAGAAAAGTTTCCTGTCTCATTTGGATAACGTGTTGTTACCACTAATATGTATGTAATGCCAGTATGAAGATTAGCAATTAGCTTGTAACCTTGATCACTACTGGCTCGATAATCCTTCGAGAGTCTATTCTCAAAAGGATCCATTGGATTAAAATCATTTTTGTAAATATAACCATACAGATCTGTCATTTCAGAAAAGATTATCAGAGTATAGTCTTCAGTTTTCTCTACGTTCACTCGTATAGTTTGATAGTAATAATTTGATATTCCACATTCTCGAGAATATGTTTGACTATTTGCAGTCAACTGTAATATATATTTTGATTGTACAGTTCCTGAAAATGTTGTTTCGATGGCTGATGGGTAACCTATGGAATGAAAATAAAAATAACAGTCGAGATTCGTGATAGATCTTGATTGACTCAGAGAAATAGGAACCGTCTGGATGTGAGAAAGAAACTTGAGCATCATAAGTCATCTCTTATATACCCTGAAAGTCGAGAGGTATGTCGAAGCTGAGTCTAGCTTTCTGAAGAGACTACTTTCTATAATATCGCTTTTAATGAAATAATTAAATCGTAAATGTAGAGTGACAATAGAACCTATAAACATTTTTCTGTACTCGAACCCTCAATAATGTATGTCACGAATGAGTTTGGAATAACTTCTTTATTTCGAAAATGAATAATATCCCAAAGTTTTAGATAGAAAAAGTTGTTTATTTATAGTCTAATCCTTCTACTAATGTAATTTTTTCAAAAACTAAAGTATATAAAAATATCTTTTAGATTCATAAAAAGCAAGAATATGTTTATATTTTTTATCTACGATACACTATATTTGAATGTTTGCAACATTTTTTTATTATAGGAACATGGAGTGATAAGTCATGTTGTAACAAAAAGCAAAGTTTTTTTCATTTCATGATCACGAGCAGGGATCTATGCTAATTTGTATATTATTTACATCAGGTTAGAAATCGATTGAAATGGATCTGTACCCAAGGACATTGATCTGATCCTATTCACAATATTCTGTTATTTGATGAAATTAATGTAGCTGTTTGTGTAAAGCTTTCTGCTTATAGTACAAATGTCATCTTACAAAACAAGTTTTTATTTCTGGATATGTCAAACTCAACTAAATACTTATACTAACGTTGACAGATATTCATTTAATAGTTGTAGTACAAACACTTACGAGCAGTCATCCTATTCCGCAATGTTGAACATTTCAGGAACCAGTTCCGCTCCGGAATCGATTCCGTTCGATTCCGGGAACTCGATCGACACATAATATCCGATACCCACTCGAAAATTGATCGAGTTCCGTCCAATTCCGGAATTGGTAGGAATTCCGTATAATTCCGGAATTGGTAGGAATTCCGTCCAATTCCGGAATCGGTAGGAATTCCGTGTAATTCCGTAATTAGAAGTAGTTCACGCAATTCCGGAATTGGTGGGAA